ACTCCAAAGTTAAGCGAGTTGGAGCTAGAGCAATCCCAAGATGGGTGACCCACTGGGAAGTTACTCGTGAGCTCCCAGAAACAAAACCATGAGGGCAGAGAGAGGGGCCCAAAGCAGACAATATCATGCTATGGCGGAGTCGATCCCGGGATGTGACAAAAAAAATTAGAATTTTATTTTATTTTATCAATACCTAGCCATATTTTTTACTTCCCACACCAAAAACTCTATACAAATTCATCTCCTCATATCTCATGTGAATAGTGATTGTCTTTGCCCTAGCCCATAGGGATGGAAACAAAATTGTAAGGGCTGCCACTATTCATGTGAATAGTGACAGTCCTTGCCTTGCCCTTGCCTTTGCCCGTAGGGGTGGAAGTGCTCTAATAGCGATAAATTAATTTATTAAAAACTATAGGCGATAATTTTTTTATTTTTTATTTTTATGAAAAAAAAGTTTATGGGAGGGGAGGTTACCCCATTCTAGGGTCATGGTATATCAAGGTCTCTTTCAGGATTTACAGAGGGGGTCTTAGTTCCTTTTTAGTTTTTACAAATTACCCATCAAAAGGGATTGTCGGCAATGGTACTCGAATTTAGGCATTGATAGCGAAGAGAAGGATCTTTACCAATTCAACTAACCTTAAAAAACTATAGGCGATAATTTTTTTATTTTTTATTTTTATGAAAAAAAAGTTTATGGGAGGGGAGGTTACCCCATTCTAGGGTCATGGTATATCAAGGTCTCTTTCAGGATTTACAGAGGGGGTCTTAGTTCCTTTTTAGTTTTTACGAATTACCCATCAAAAGGGATTGTCAGCAATGGTACTCGAATTTAGGCATTGATAGCGAAGAGAACTATCTTTATCAACTCAACTAACCCTAGTTGGCTATAAATAAGATATTTTAATTGTTGATACCATATATGTTAATTTTGAATTATTTTGACTGAATTGATGTGATATAAAAGAAAGGGAAAAGTATTAGATTCCAAAACTCTTTTTTTTTTTTTTCCATTTAAATTTGCTCAAATTAAATCCCGAAAGCCAAAATAAACATATAATAAGCTAGGAACTTAGATGTTGGACCCCCAATAAAGCTCTTGCAATGTTGCAAGAAGAAAAGTGATTCATTTGTCTTGTAGTGTCACAGTTCTCCTTCCACTCATATCGGTCGGTCTCTGTTGGGTCCCACATTTCTAAAGCCTTCATTTCTATTCTGACACCAAATATAATCCCGAAGCCGACAACAACGTGGTTGGCGTTGGATCCGCCACGTGTCAATGAAATCTCCAGGGTCGCCATTGTGTGCCACGAAGCCAGTTGTCCATTTTGTGCAAGTGCCAACTAGCTTTAGTAAGTTCTTCTGTTGCGTAGGGTAGAGTATGAGTTATAAATTTGATATGATTTGCTTTGTTTTGATTTAGAAACTCTTGTAACAAGTACACTAGCGCGTACTCATTCTGACCATTGATACATTTTGAGTTTTACATGTATTAAAGCTCAAGACTAATATAAGCACGTATGCAAAATTGACGTAAGTTCTTCTTATAGGATTTGAAGGCTTCATCATTAAAGCTAAAAATCATCACAATTATAAGTATAGTGTTAAGAAGAATGATACAATGGCCGATACAAGTTAGCGCGAGTTAATTCTAATCATTAATTCACTCTAAGTTCTACATGTATCAACAGTCAAGATTAAAACATGTGCGAGTGCACGACTGATCTGAGCACTTCTCATTGGGTTGCAAATGCTTCATTATTCACAGCTATATGATGACAAACGTTTGAGATTTTTAGCTTTGAATGACAAAATATTATCTACAATAATAAAAACGAGTTTGGAAATACCTTGACAAACAAACAATAACCAATGAAAATGGTGTTTAATAATAACAAAAATCCCAGCCTGTAAAGTGAGGGCCGCATCATTGGGTCCACTCCATGCTTGAACTACAGGCCAGTCAGCAATTCCATATCAATCAATTTGTATTGGCTGTATTATATATATATATATATATAGGCTGATATATACACATAAAAGGATGAATTTCTGATTGGATAGCATTAAGTTCAGGGATAGTTGACCGACGGCTACCATGCCATACACTCAACAGTGATGGCCCTGATGGCCTCTATGTCTTCTGGAGTTTGGTGCAAGTAAAATTCATTCCACGCATTCCACAAATTCCGTAGTCCTGTAAAATCACAATCAGCAACCTTGCTATTCTTTTGGAATGTCATGGCATGGATGAATGAGTTTGGCACCATTTGCATCCACACGAACTTCTTGTAAGGTTCACGTTATTATTTGGATGCATTGCATAATCAAATTGCACAACTATCACAATACCAAACAAATAATCTGCAAGCTAACACTTATCGATCATCCTATGTCGATATGCATCCTATGTCGACGCGTATCAACCACGTAAGTAATCGTCGATGCTATTTCCTGATTTTGTTTATGAGAGTATAAAGACTAGCTAGGTAACTAGTTTATGTTGTTAACTTTCCTTAGAATGATATAACAATTATTTCATATACAAGTCTCGTTTAGATAAGATTCCACTATGTCAAGAGTTCGATTCTCTTCCATTGTAGCGAACAAAAAAACAGTAAGGCAGGTAGGATCGCTACAGAGTATGCCACCCGACACAATAGTTAGTCCAAGTGGAATAATTTCTGTAGTAGTAGAAAGATTAATAAGATGAAGAAAAGGATCATAGTTAATTAAAGGGGGGAGATTAAGAAAGAAGAAGCGCGAAAGAAGAATACAAACTGTTGGGTAGGGCCTAACTGAAAGCTTGCCATTAGCTGGATGGAAAGCAAAGTTGTGATGGAACTTTCCAATAGGAAGGCAACAGTCGTAATCACTAATCTTTCCTCAAGTCTCCCAACTCTGTGTGTGTATATATATTTAACAGCCCACAAGAAGCCTCTCATCATCTAAAATCTCATCCATATTAGTAATTCCTTTTAATCACAAAGTAGTCTGATTTCGTGCTACAACTTATTATGGCCCTATATCCCTCTTTGAGAAGCCTCATTGCTTCTCTCTGCTTTTGTTTTCTTGCTTTTTCTCTCTCAGCTTTTGGACGACCAGCCACTTTTCTGCAAGACTTCCAAGTCACATGGTCTGATTCTCACATCAGGCAAATCGATGGCGGGAGGGCCATCCAACTTATTCTTGACCAAAATTCTGGTAAATATATGTATATAAAATCGTGGGGTCAACTTATTATATTTAGTAATGGTTTAAAAAAAGAAGTTTGGTTCAATTGGATTGTCCTCACAAAGCATGACAAAACAATGAGTGGTTTCTAAATTCTAACATTTGAGATTTGACTGTTAAATTTGATGCATTTCAGGATGTGGGTTTGCCTCCAAACACAAGTACTTGTTTGGGCGTGTGAGCATGAAGATCAAGCTCATCCCTGGAGATTCTGCTGGAACTGTCACTGCTTTCTATGTAACTTCACAGACTGAAAAAACCCAAAATGAATATTTGGGTTTCTTGGTTTTTTGGGAATTAATATTTGCTTTGGATTGGTTTTTGTTTGGCAGATGAACTCAGACACAGATGCAGTGCGTGATGAGCTAGACTTTGAGTTCTTGGGGAACCGGACTGGGCAGCCTTATACAGTCCAAACCAATATATATGCTCAGGGGAAGGGTAACAGGGAGCAAAGGGTCAACCTCTGGTTTGACCCTGCTGCAGATTTCCACACTTACACAATACTCTGGAACCATCACCATATTGTGTAAGCTAACAAGACCAATAGCCATGAACAATATTCTATCTTTCAAACATGTTATGTTGTTAGACTGGTCAGACGTCTGATCTATCACAGTATAGCAAGAGAAAATTACTCCATTAGACATAATAATATTGGTTTTTATTTATTTATTTATAATAACTTTTTTGAATTTGGGGTAATTTGGTGTCAATGCGATTGTGGTGGTGCAGTTTCTATGTGGATGATGTGCCTATAAGGGTGTACAAGAACAATGAAGCCAGAGGAGTTCCATACCCCAAGCTCCAACCCATGGGGGTGTTTTCAACATTGTGGGAAGCTGATGATTGGGCTACAAGAGGAGGGCTTGAGAAGATAAACTGGAGCAAAGCTCCTTTCTTTTCTTACTACAAGGATTTTGATATTGAGGGGTGCGCTGTGCCAGGACCAGCCAACTGTGCCTCAAGCGCCACTAACTGGTGGGAAGGGACTGCCTACCAAGCACTCAATGCCCTTGAATATAGAAGATACAGGTGGGTTCGTATCAACCACATGATCTACGATTACTGCACGGATAAATCCCGGTACCCGGTAGCCCCACCGGAGTGTCTCGCGGGTTTCTAAATCGGAGCCAATTATACCAAACAATCCATGTTGGTGGTACGTACATTTATGTGTTAGGGAATATGGAAAAATCTTGTGTGTGCGTATGTGTATGTGGATGAAGTCTAAGTCTTTTAGAAGCGAGCAAATGTCAATTTCTACTTTGTGGTTGTATGTGTCTGTACACAGCTCGCATTATTGTACCAAATAAAGCTCCTGCGTTATTGTGAAAAGGATATGTCTTTTAAATCTATTATCAGTTTTCAAATGGGAATAAAAAAATCTGTGCTTATTTTCAACTGTTAAAGGACGAAATTTGGTCCATTCTGACACGAGCCAAGAAAGAAATTGTGGAAACAAACAGAGGTTGGTTTGATTTAGTACTACTACTGTACCAGACTGAGCTGAACTAAATACGTAACATATGGTCCTATGATATATACTTGGTTTGTTCTCTAGACATCTTTAGAGCAGTGTCGAGCTTAGTAATAGTCAGTGCATTTGGAGCTTAATCGACTCACCATAGCATTCTTTATGGCTTTAATCGTCCCTGAAATAGTGAAATGGTTCTTCAAGTGGGGCTCATTCCACTCTTATGTCTGAGCTCTTCATCTACATTAACATTGCTAAATCAATGACTGAAAAACTTGGTAAACATCTACATTAAAATTGCTACAGGATTACCAATTGGAAGACTCTGAGCATAACAAATTCCGCATTCAACTTGCTGCTCATTCTTCTGGACATCAGGGGGAATTGGCAGTTGAGTCTCCAAAAGACATTTAAGATTTTCTAGAAATTGTTTGTCTTTTATCCTGTGCAATCAAACAAAAGATATACATATATCACTCAATCTCTTCTCTCTCTCTCTCTCCATAACAAACTTATCCCTATTCTAGAAATTTTATTTTTGATTCCCAACCTTCAAATGAGGTTGATGTAGAGTTCATTAAAGAAAAGCCAGGAGTCATCAAAATTAAGGGTACAAATAGACAAATATATTCATGAAAAAAGATGATTCGGCAGTAACACAGCCAGAAAATTCCTATTTAGATTACTTTTAAATACAAGTACCAAAGAATACAGATTGAAAGGCAAGGAACGGATGCAAAGTTATACCATCTTTTGCCATTTCTTCGCCATCTATTTCTCAACAAGTTCACAATTGGACCTGAACCAATAAAACGACATCTAACACAACTTGATATTCGCATTGAATGAAAAGCAAAAGCTAGAAGGTAGTAGCTCTAGTAACTTATTTGAGATGGAATCTCACTCTGGTAAAGATCTAGGATCAAAGGCATTAATAGACAACATGATGAAGCAATCATTTCCTGTGAAACAAAAACCTCAAAAGACTTAACACCGACATACAGAAGGGAGAAGAGTTATCAATACTTATGAAGAAGATGCTTCACCCATATTGATCTGGCGATAGGATACAGAAGGAGATGCTTGTTTAGGATCAACAACCCAAAGGGACCTGTCAATATCATCCAAAGTAGACCAAAATGCCTGAAGCTTCTCCAGATGCTGGATACAAGAATAAGTTATCAACAGCTTTTAGCAAAGATAAGAACACAAGAAAACAACTTGATGAAGTCTATAAGCGGCAACTCGAATCAACTAATGCAACATCTCTCATATGTATTTTGAAAGGAAAAAAAATGAATACCTTTTTAAACTGTTGCACCACATCTTTCAATCTTGAGTGTGTTGACCATTTTAAATCAAACATATATGGTACATCCTGAGAAATAAACTTAAATCTTATTTATGCCTCAAATGGAAAAACTTAACAATGCAAAAGATTAAAGAAGACATACTGCTGAAATTGAAGGAGGGCATTTAGGATGGGTTTTATCCAATTGAATCTCAATAATATGCATTTTCCCCTTGCCATCTCTGGTAATCAGATTTACAAAAGATTGAGCCCATTACATGATTAAGACAGTATAATCATGTGCAAAATGGCAGAAATGAATGCCAAAAAGTTTATAAAAAAATGAAGAATGGCAGAAACTCATGTTGCATGGCCAAAAAAGAAAATTTTACCAAACAACTAATTGCAACAACAGCCTAAATGTTCAGGAAGATTTTTTTGCTAAACAACATGGTGTCAAAAGAAAATTCCGAGGATAACCTAAGATAACACTATTGTATTAAACGATCTACTCTGAAAATTGTTAGAAGTTCAAATCTGATTCTTGGAAAATTAAACTTTTCTTATCATAACTTTAGGGTTTAATGCTCCACAAGCACCCAGTATAAACCTTTTAGAATTTCCTTAGTACTTCCTTGATATATAAAATTTAATCTACTGATGAGAATTAAGGACTATGAAAGAACAAAGGTTTAGGCACAATCAAACAGGCACAGCTTTTTGATGAAGAAATAAGAAAAAACACAGTTCTGAACTCAGTAACCCTTTGACCAAAAAATAGAACTCGGCAACTCAAGAAATAGTATCTTACACAACACTTGCCTTCAGATAAAGCATGTTTACTCTACTTCACACTAACCAGATTGCTAGTCCACGACACAAATACAATCTTGAAACTTTTAATAAGTTGACAATTGCATAACATGTTTACAGCATTAAATATTTATTGGGACACAAGACAAAACATGTTTGGCAGCACTATTTCATTTCTCACAACTAAATATCTCCACTTCCTTCTTATATTGAAATCACTATAACTAATCTGGCACATAAAAAACCAGATATCCTTGGCCCATGTATAGAAATTCTCGGCATATTTGAAGAACCAAAGAATTTTTTTTCCCTTTTATCAAATGCAAAATGAAAAAGAAAAAAATAGTAATTGGATACTGAATGGGAACAAGAATATCTTACAAGATCCGAAAGCTGAGAGATGTTAGATCTCCACAGAACCTCACCAGATGCTCCCATCCAACCTCCTCTATCTACATTCACATGATGATCAAGTCAATGATCAGCAGCAATGAAGGTACTTATGTTACCAAATGTCATAGAAAATCCAAAGACATTAATAACTAACAACTTTCACAAATGCTTTTAATCATATACTGAAACAATTCTATGAGCCTTCACATTAGTTGCTTGTATGGTGTTAGAGCATCAAGATACAGGTTCATGTGAGAAAATAATTAGCAACTGCTGCATTCAGAGTCTTAAACAGGTTCTTATTCATACCTCAGGCGTTTTCCTAATTTCAATGGGAAATAAAATCATAAGTGAATTAAAGGAAATAGTAATTGAAGCAATAATGTGTGGCTGGCCTCTCCGAACCCAGCCTTGTTCAGGAAGGAAAGGTGTGCCCTTCACAATGGGGATTCATAGAATTTGTACTCAACATAAAAATAAATTATTTTACACAAAATAATTGTGGTGAACGATCCATGAGTTCAAATGCATAGATTTTCACTAACCCAAAAACATTTTAAAATTTACTTTTGGTCCTTAGAATGAGCATTTAGCACCCATAATATTTTAGACTCCTGAAACATTTAAAACATAAGTACTTAAAAATGCTAGACCAGATGTTATAACCCTGCAGTATAAAATGATACTTAGTTCCAGGAAATTGGTGTTTGTGTGGCAAAAGATAATGGGTTCAAATGACTGTCCAAGTCACCTCTGAGTACACTGCACGGTAAAAGGTAGACGCTTCGGCCAGCTCTCTGCATCTCCTCTGCTCAGCACATTCCTGCGCTCAAGAACAGTTTGGATGATGCATACATAGATAAACTCAGAGACATATACAGTATAACATACATAATTATAATTATACTGGATATTGGCTCCAATGGATGAACACATTAGCTCAAATTTGGATTTCTTAGTTCATGAACTAAAACAAAAGCTTCAGTTCTCTAAAAATAAAAATAAAAATTATTACACCCAAGAAGGCGCATCACAGTACACAAACATGGGGGGAATTTTAACAAACAGTTGGTGCGCTTTATCTTTATCTTGACTTGCAGATACAACCAGTAACCAAAAGCGAAATAGAGCAGAAGAAGAAATACCATTTGGTTCGGAGAGATAAAAAAACACTCAAGAACAGATTGCGGGCAGGCACCGTGGATCAGGAAATGCTAGCGTTGCAAGAACTGGTAAATGCTTTCATCCTTGGACCATGTTCATACGAATGATCGGGCCCAAGCCTAACCCATGAACCAAATTGATTTCAGGCTTCTGACTGGGCTATTGAGCTAGCCCATTATAGCGAATATAAAAAAATTGAAAATTTGCATAAATGCGACTTGAAACTTAAACTTTTTATTTTTAAACACCTGAAAATAATTTAAAAAGGAGCTAGGCTAATTTCGTCATGCACGAGCCAAATTTCTCTCAACAAACCAAGAATTTTATGAAGTATTTAAGTCCAGAGTGTGGCTCAAGTATTTAAACAGTATTCATTCAGAAGGCACTAAACCCTTTCAGAAAGCACTGAACCCTCTTTTGAGATCATCTCACAAATTCATCCCATGATTTATTGTTTGGTCCTCGTCTACAAAAAGATCAGTTTTTTTTAACATTTTTTAAATACAAGCGATATTAGGGGATGAGAGTTTTCTCACCCACACATTGCCAATGTGTCATAGGAGTTCGAACTTGAGACCACTAGTCTGCAAGTCAAAATCCTTTCCACTGGGCTAGATCCCGTTGACAAAAGATTAATTGTTTAACTAATAAATTAAAGGGGTAATTTTTCAAAGTGATTTTTCAATTTGATTTTCATATCCATTTTACCAGTCTCATTTTAATTATATATTTTCTTCAACTGTCAACAAAGTTTTTTTTCCCTTCTTTGGTAGATGGTAGGGCATTTGTGTAGGAGGGTTTGGTTATTGATACGCAGGGGCGGAGCTAGAATTGTAAAGTTAGGGGGGTCGAAGTAGAAAATACAAGTATATAAAACATTAGGGGGGTCGAAGTAGAAAATACAAGTGTATAAAACACCTAAGTATTCAATAATTACATATTTAGAGCTAAATATTTCTAATTGAGTCATGTCTAATTTGTTTTAGAGGAAATTTTAACTTAAATTATAAGTTGTTCATTACAAATTTTATATATTATATATAATATAATAGAGGAGGGATAAAAATCTGGGGGGGCTAAAGCTTACAGAAAAATTAGGGCTGGCCGCCGCTGCTGTGTCTCTGAGATCGCCCAGACCAGATCGACAAATTTCGTCGGCCCCGTGGCCTGCCTTCGTGGGGACATGGAAGAAGGCTCACTTGGAGCTGTCCCTCTAAATGCTCGGATGACCAAGCGTAGCAGAGCCTCCACGGAGTCTGTTGCAGAACATGAGCTGGAGCCTGCACAGCCGCCGCCGGCCCCTACTGCACCTGCCCAGCCATCAAACCCCCCTACCTTCTCCTGTAGCTTCAAGGACAAACTCATGAACAAGATGAATATGGCAAAGAATCCCGGGGTCGACGTGAACTCCCTGGAGACTGACTATACAGATCTGAATGACGAGGAGGATGTGGTGACCTCTCGCGCTGAGCGTGGCCCTTGTATCCAGTTCTCTGAGAAAGCCATGACTCGGTTATGTGAGCCATGGCAAAATGCGCTCATAATCAAACTCCTTGGCAGACCACACACCTACAATTTCCTCCATGCCCGCTTACAACAGAAATGGAATTTGAAGGGGGTTGGAAATTAATTGATCTTGTCAACGATTACTTTGTTGTCAAATTCGATCTGGAGGAAGATCTTAACTTTGTTCTCACAGGAGGACCGTGGATAATCTCAGGCCAGTACCTAGTGATGCAAAAGTGGCGTCCTGGGTTCTGCCCAGCAACTGCCCACATTACCAGAATGGCAGCTTGGATCCGTGTGTCAGCCATACAATTAGAATGCTTTGATATTTGGGCGTTGAAACGCATTGGAAACCTGCTTGGGAAACTCTTAAAAGTTGACGCCCTCACAACGGCTCAGAACAGGGGGAAATTTGCCAGATTATGTGTGGAACTTGATCTGACCAAACCTTTGGACGCCTTTGTTCAAATTAACCAGGTTTGGTACAACATTGAGTATGAGGGTCTCCCAGAAATCTGCTACCTGTGTGGGCACTATGGACACAAGAAAGAGGCCTGTAGCATTAAGACTGACTCTGCGGGACAAAACATTGAAATTCCAAGTACAGCAGGAGCGGATGCTATGGGTCAACCTGCTGAGGTGGTAAATGAGAACTCTATGACAGGAAATGAGGGGCTGAGAGGGCCATGGATGAATGTGCCCCCACGAAGGAAACCTAAAGCGACAGTTACCGAAGGTAAAGGCAATCAATCAGGAGACAAAGGTCAGGGTTCCAGATTTGAGGCCTTAAGAGATATGGATGGCAATACAGAGCGTGCTGATCTAGGAGTTGCTAGGAGTGCCAGCCAGAAACAGCCTATTCATGCAGATACCTTAAAATGGACAACTAATACTGGGAAGAAAACATGGACAAAATCTAAGGTCGCCAAGCTTGGTACTAGAACAGTTTTGAATGACATTTCAAACATGCCAGCACAGAAGCAGAGTGCCATGAGCATGGGCTCAAAACTTGGAGAGCTCCCGAGTTGCTCAAACTCTAAAGCTTGGAACCCTACTGGAAAATTGGTGACTGGAGGGAAGCCAGCCTCAGATAAGATCTCTATTAATGATCAGTTAAACAACTGGGTCAGTGGTCAAAACACGTACAAGGAAAAAGGGCTGTATATCTTTGGGCATGAACCCCCCAACATAGATGGCAGCAATGAAGAGATTGGGAAGGAGCCTGACACCTACATGGATGCCAACACTTCCATCCGTGAGCCCCATGCGGAATCCTCCCCAGACCAGGAAATGGACCTTATGGAAGGTCAAGCCCCAGCTACCAGCGTGGTTACGACAAGGAACTAGCCTCCCAGTTTCTCCCTTTCCTACCCTATCCTTTTAATGATTATTATCTGTTGGAATGTTCGAGGCGCTGCCTGCACCAAATTCAGACCTACCGTGATGGATTTAACCCGCAATCACCATGTGGATATCCTTTTTCTCTGTGAACCTCGTATCAGCGGAAAGAAAGCAACTGACACAGTGAAGTCTCTTGGTTTCCCTTGCTATGAAATTGTTGACTCCGTTGGTTTCTCTGGCGGACTTTGGCTCCTATGGAAGGATACAAATGTTAATATTGAAATTCTTGGCACCACTGACCAATCTATCACTGCCTGCGTGTCCAGTCCCGGGAAGACTCATTGGCTTCTTACTACCATTTATGCTAGCCCTTGCGGTCCTAAAAGAGAAAAACTTTGGGAGTATCTTGATTTTGTCAGTAGCTGTCATCAGCTGCCTTGGGTTCTTGCTGGAGACTTTAATGAACTGTTACATGTTGAGGATAAACTGGGAGACGCACTGAGCATCCGCCACAAAGGTTTCAGAAAGTGGTTTGATACTAATGCTATGGTTGATCTCGGCTACTATGGTCCCAAGTACACTTGGACAAATAAGCGGGTTTTCGAACGTCTTGACAGAGCTATTTGCAATATGGGGTGGAGATGCCTCTTTGCGGAGGCCCATGTCAAGCACCTTCCTCGGACTAAGTCTGATCACAACCCTATCAAGCTTTGTTTAAAATCTGGTTTTGCCTCTTCTCCAGATAACAGACCTTTTCGTTTTGAGGCTATGTGGCTCAAGCATGAGGAATTCAAGGATTTTATAACCCAAAAATGGCAGCAGCTCCCTGGTCCAGTTTGGGTGAAATCTGTTGGGTTGGTGGAACCCCTTAAGCTTTGGAACACCCAGGTCTTTGGTCACCTAAAACACCGGAAAGCGCGCCTCCTAGCTAGAATCAGTGGCATCCAAAAGGCTCTTTGCTCGGGTCCAAACAGGTTTCTACAGCAGCTGGAATTCTCCCTCGTAGATGAGTTTAACACCTTACTTGGGTATGAGTCTGTGTTTTGGCGCCAAAAATCTAGAATCCAGTGGCTTCAAAATGGGGATAGAAACACTAAATTCTTTCACATGTCTACTGTTATAAGAAGGAGAAAGAACAAAATTGAAAGACTAAAAAATGATAATGGGGACTGGGTTGATTCTGCTGTTGAGATCAAAGCTTTAGCTGCCCGCTATTTCTCCAACTTGTTCACCCAGACTCAAAATGTGCAATGCGACCTGCATACTCCTAATCTCTTCCCTACTATTGCCAGTGTGGCTCTTGACCTCCTCACGAGAGATATTGATGCTATGGAAGTTAAGGATAGCCTTTTCCATATTGGTAGCCTAAAAGCCCCTGGTGCTGATGGCTTCCCTGCTAGCTTCTACCAAACATACTGGAATTTATGTGGAAAAGATATTATTAATATGGCCTCCAAAGCCTTTGCTGACTGTCATGTGGCTGATGGGCTAAATGATACCCTGATAACTCTGGTTCCTAAAATTGCCAGCCCTCAAACAATGGCCCAGTTTCGCCCCATAAGCTTATGTTGCACCCTCTACAAAGTTCTGTCCAAAATCATTGTTGCCCGCTTACGGCCCCTGATGTCTACCCTGATAAGCCCCAACCAGGTCAGTTTTGTTCCGGGCAGACAAATTACTGACAATATTCTTGTAGCTCAAGAACTCATGCACAAATTCAAGAACTCTAAGGGGAGAAAGGGCTTCTTAGCATGGAAGGTTGATTTATCTAAGGCCTACGACAGATTAAACTGGAATTTTATCAGATTTGTTCTCAACGAAATTGGGCTACCCTCCAAGCTTAGCCAGTTAATTATGTCTTGTGTGTCCACTGTCAAATACCAGGTGTGTGTCAATGGGGAACTCACTGGCAGCCTCACTCCCACCAGCGGCATTAGACAAGGGGATCCCCTGTCCCCATATCTTTTTGTCCTGTGCATTGAGAAACTCTCCCACATCATTTTTGACTCTGTACGGAGA